TCGTTCGCGTTTATCGACTAAGGTAAACTCGTAATAGCATCAAGCATCCTAAGTGCCGAACATATCAGTCATGTACCGGGAAATTGCGTCTATCAATCAAATATGATCAGCACTGAAAAGCATTAGATAAACATAGAACTATGCATTACTCAGAGTTCAGTTGCGTCTTAGATAACTCACTGGTGAGATCTTCGGCTGTGAAGCTAGATAACCATGAGATCGAAACCGGTTAGGGCACTTAACCGCGTCACAAGAGAAACTCTCACTTGGAATCTTCAAAGTCAAACGAGAAGAGCAAGAGAAGAGAATCTGATATATGACTATTACTGAATACAATGTTTGGCACTCGAACGAATATAACTGCCTACGCTCTACTAGCACGAGGTCGCAAAAGAAAATTCGATGGAGTATGGATTACTCCAGTAAGTGTTGTTATGAAGTTGTTGGTATATAGACTGAAAACAATATTATAATCATCCACTCCGTAAATGTCGATGTTCCACAAATGTCTGATCACTGCTTGCCACACCGATATTCTCAAAACCCTATCAGGTCATGACTGGATGGATTTTTTTCGTCTTGTTATGAACCTGTGAAGGATTTTTGAAGCTATCGAAGCTAATGAAAAGTATCGAATGTAATCTTGTTCAATATCATATTTAATACATATTCGATCATATACAATTCAAGTTTTTTGAACTATCACAGACGTCCATTCACAAAAACAAACAGAATATTGGCTCTCTACTTCCATATTATCTTCTTTACCTTCAACACATACTTCGGATCTGATACTTTTTCCAGCAATACGAACTTCTAGGTGACGCTGTGTTGCACCACTACTCGTAAATCACATTGCGAGTAGTATCCATCATGCCTGTCATATACAACATTTTTATCATGCTAATTGATTTATTCAAACCTCCTCTTTACCATTCATATTTCATATATTAATTTTAGAACTATACTCTTCTCTTCATTCTGGTATTGTAAAAAATAATAACGATTGAGTTATTGATTATTCATCTGTCCATCTTTTTACTGTAAGTACTACTCTAGTGAACGAGAACACAGGTGGGGCAATCGAATTGTATTTAACGAAAATTACAGAGTTACTCAGTAAAATTGGAAAACCATATCGTAAATCGTTCATTTGCAAAATATCAGTTCATCATATCGAACTGGACTGTTCCTGTTGCAAAACATCAATCCATTGTCACTGTTCATGCGTTTCATACAAATTCCATTGTTTTCTAACTCTTCCTTTCCTGATCTTCCCCCATCTTCTGCTGCCAGACATTCGTTGACACTCACGTCATATACTACTTATAAGTAGCTCGCACCACAGTATCATTGCAAAAATTACCTCTATTGACACAATAAACACTCTACTTATTTATCCCAAAACAGAAATCGATCCCAATAATCGATTTCTGTCAATTCCATCGAAATATCATCGAAAAACGAAACGAAAAAATTATTTCCAATTCCATAAATAAATCTTCTCGGAAGATAGATGATACTCATCGAAATGTGTGATTCAATTTCTTTTATGTTAGTTTGTATGCTAAAAAATTAATCATTAGAGAGTGAGTAGTGGAATTCTTTTGTTTGTTTGTTTTTTCAAATATCGACATTGAATATTGAATCGGTGGTGTTTTTCATTTTTCCGGGCTTATTTCAATCATTCTTCACATATGATTGTTGAAAATTTTTAATTCAAGTATAAAATACTTAATGTGAATAAATTTATTTTTTTTTTTACTATTTCAATAATAGGAAAAATTAGAAAGAAAGGAAAAAAACAGATCTGTTGTTTTGTATTGTTTGTATTGAATAATTTAAAAAGGCGGGAATTTTAATGCGTGTATTGTTTAAAAATGTTTTTTTTTCACTAAAAAACTCAAGTATGGTTGTATTTATGAGTGTTTTTTGAAATTATTTGGTTATAAAACCTAACTAAAGCTGAGTGATAGAGTAGAATTATGTTCATTAACATGGACAGTTAGTGGAGATTGAACTAATCAATCACTTGAATGCAGGGACTGGTAAACAGAGTCCTCGAGGCTCATAAAAAAAAAACCTGAAAGGACTAGCATGTAAATACGAATTTCATGAGTTCTGGTTTGTATAGTTCAAGTGTTTATATATATACAAAGGATAATGCATGAGCACACAGAGAAAGGGAAGTAAACTCTAAAGTCAAACCTTTCACTAAAAAAGTGAGGTTTAACAAAAACAATGAGCAAAAAGTAAACAAACAGGTCTGTGAATAAAAATCTGTAACAAACATCAAGTAGAGGTGATCATCAACCCTCCCTTAGAGCATATGTGCTTTAAATGTATGTTGTGAAGTGTATGAGTGAATGCATACATACAACTGATATGTATGTAACGCATGAGAGAAAGTAGTATATACGTTCGTGGGAATGGTGGAGTACATCTTTGATTCCTCCTAAGAGGCAGATATACCTTATGAATACCAAGAAACATATCAGTGAACATAATTTGGTCTGCTTACTTACTCCGATTATCCACAGTGGAGCATAAGTCACCGACCAGCGAATTATTTTTCTGGTTAGCGAGTTGGATTTCTACGGGATGGGGCTGCTAACCTTCATGCACAACCCTCCTCATTTATCCGGGCTTTATGCCGGAATAACTGTAGAATGGCTCTAGCCGGAGTTATCTATTTGACTAAGGTGAAAAAAATATAGTTATTCATCTGTTCTTCACATGAAAAACAAATATATTTTTGAAATGTATTAATTTTACGTCAACAAACAGTTCTCATCGTCATATTTATCGTTAAAAACTATTATATTATGTGTTTACAGCTTATAAAAATAGATTTTTTCTTATCGAGATCGTCAACTTAGTTTTCTAGCTGATGTGACAAACATATCAGATGGAAATGATCCCCAATGAACCAACCCTAGCAATATTTTTGAATTATCGAAAGTACTCGAATGCAGAAATGGATTTGACCTTGTCAGTCATTCGTACATATTATGGTCTCTTATTCGAGTATGTGTGTACGGCTCACTTCGCTTATTACTTATATCTAGCTTGTGTTTGTCTGATTATAAATTCTTAGTCATACCTCATCATAGGAAGTTGACTCACTCGCCATCCCTACTTCGCTAAGGCTTTTCTTGTATACTTTCTGTTCTAATGTCAGTCTGCTTAACTGAATGTCTGAAATAAGCTCATATTTACTACTACGACTTGCTACTGCCGTCTCACAAACGGGGTTCACCTGAGTATGATATACGGAAATGTGAAGGGAGGTTTATTTCATAGCATAGTTAATTGTTTATTAATATATTGGAGATCGATAGTGAGCCACTAAAGTAGTGAGCCTAACAATAAATTCAACGTAGCCCAACAAAATAGTTGACTAGTTAAATTGTCCAAAGGTTGAGACAAGCTCTGTTGGCTCGATATAAAAGTACACACTCTACAAGACAAGGCAAATAAAATATTATTTAATGAAATTGGAAAGCATAATATATTGGGTTTTTTGTCTTAAGGATACAGTTGTAAAACGATAATTCACTCATCTATTTGATATCAGTGCCACACAAATAATCGACAGACTTAAAAGAAACTTTTTGTCGTGTACCTAAATAAATTCAATCAAACAGTGTCAAACAATTTCATCGGAATCATGAATCCATCATTGGTAAAGTATCACTGGAAACCTGGAAGCACTGGATGGCCGTTTCGTCCTAGTATGGCACTCATCATCATTGAGCATCCAAGATCCCATCTCGCTAGAATCGAATCCAAGACCTTCGATATCGCGCTCGAACGCCTAACCTTTAGATAAACGAGCCGGCACCAAACGGTGTAAATCTCTGACTTTTGATCAATCTACGAAATTTCTGAAAATTAACCATTGTTCCTAGTAAGTAACTGACTAAACCCGAAAGTTGAACCCCACTGATCGCGGTTTCTCATTAGAGCTCTAAGAGTTTTCTCACGAAGCTAACCCCTAGTGAGTACATGGTTCGACTCCCAGAAGTGAGATTCATGGATGGGCAATGTTGATGAGTCCCAATAGTAGGACGAAACAACCTTCTTGTGCACCCAGATTTATAATGATGGTCTAATATTGACCAGTTCATGATTTCCATGAAACTCAGCCGTGTTCATAACTCTATAATAGGAAAATTAAACTGTTTCATCAGTTATTTGATAGAATTATTTATAGAAGACCAACACATTGATACGAATAAGCAGAGTGAATGATTAGTTTCATTGAATTCGTTCTCAAAATAGTCAGTTAGTAAATTCTGTTTACTTTTCATTTCCTATACACTTTTTAATCATTAATTCACTGTTATTTCTTAAAAGCTGAGCCTGGAGCCCTACTGAACTGACTGCTGATCCAAAGCCCAGATAAAAGAGAAGAGATCGGCATGAGGTGTTAGCGACATCATCCCGTGAAAAATCAACTCTCTTATATAAGCGTTAATCAGCTGCTGCCAATGCTGTAATTGGATTGCTATTCCTCACCAATTAATCCTTAACTTTGATACCTAGAAATTTTTTTTTTATTTCTTCATAATACACTAAATTTAGCATAGAGCAATTGAACAGGTTATTTCTAATTGGTTAAAACATAATAAATCATTTGAAACATGACAATAATAAATGTAATTCTCTTTATCTAAATAATAAATTAAACCAATAACCAATAAGAAATCAGTTTCAGTTATCAGGCAGATATGAAATTCTTTAATTTGATTGGTTATTTTTTGAACAAAATGTTCTCTTTTCACCTGGCTGAGTTTACCTATTTTCCTACCTGTCCAATAAAAAATAAATTCTGAGCTATCTACTCAAATATATGTATATATATACACCATTAATAAATGTACACATACACACACACACGTGTTTTAATGTGTGTGTGTGTGTGTGTGTCTATGCTACCATATCTATATATATATACATACATCTATTGATTATATTTTTAGTATTATCTTGAATAGAAGAAGTGTTTAGAAATCCTATTTTTGGATTAGGCATGGAACATGTGAATTTTTTTACTAATAGAACAAAATAGGAATAGAATAATTTTCATTATCATCATAGACTAATATTTATCTATTTATTACATTTTTTAAATGTATAATTCACTGATGAAATTGAGTATAACAGCAATTGTTCACTATGCATATAGTATCATTTTCCTCTATCATGTTGAATGCAATGTTCCCTATTATAATCAACCGCCTATTTTAAAACAACCTCCACCTAATCTACATCATCCACCATCGTCATCCTACAGACAAACGAATCAAAATGCTCAAGTTTTATCTTATGGTTCAGTGAATCCAATTGGTCCATCCCATTTACCATTTAGTGAAACACAAGATCCAGGTATTCCGCCTGGACTAACACTTGGTGATCCAGATCTATTGAATATAACACAACATCGTGCTACTGGTACTGGTACTATTGCTACTGGTACTACTGCTACTAATACGAATCCTATTCAAACCAATCAACAATCGACATTATTTCAACATGAAATTCAATCAAAAACATCAATGCGTGATCAAATTGTCAATTTAATCATGTCCAAATATCGTAGTTATGAACGTCCACCAGATCCAGGCGGTAATGCTACTATAGTCACAGTGAATATGAAAATATTAGCCATTTTTTCAATTGATGTACGTACAATGGATTATTATGTTGATTTATTATTAAGACAAGTATGGCGTGATCAACGTTTGTCATGGTATCAAATACCGAAATTTGCGAATTTCACTGAACCATTAGTATCACCAAAATTAAAAGAACAATTATGGTTACCGGATTTATTTTTTCGTAATGGTAAAGATGGTTATTTGCATAAATTAACATTACCAAATTATTTATTACGTGTACATCCAAATGGACAAGTATTATATAGTCAAAAAATCACTATGAGATTTTCATGTCAAATGCATTTACAAACATTTCCAATGGATAAACAACATTGTCATATTAATATTGGTAGTTATGGTTACACATTGAATGAATTGAAATTCATATGGAATCATGAAAAACCAGTTGAATTAGCTGAAAAATTACAATTGTCTGAATTTGAAACACCACAAAAATTTGATACCAATGATTGTTCATCCGGTTATTCCACATCGACTGGACAATATACATGTTTAAATGCTACATTTGAATTACAACGACAATTAGGCAGTTATTTAGCTACAACTTATATACCGAATATTTTAATTATTATGGTATCATGGTTAAGTTTTTGGGTGAATGTCGACTCGGCTCCAGCACGTGTACCATTAGGATTATTGAGTTTATTGGGTATATTGACACAGGCGATTAGTGTCTCATCAACATTACCACGTGTATCTTATATTAAAGCAATTGATATATGGATGATTTTTTCAATTATATTCGTTATTGGTGTATTAGTTGAATATGCTATAGCATTGACTTTATTAAGACGTAAACAATCGGAAACATGGCATGAAGATGTGAAAGAGATTGTACGTGAAGAATTAACACGTTGGTGTACAATATGTCAACAACAACAATTAATTCAATTACAACAGCAACAACAACAACAGAATAAACAAAATTTTTTAAAAGGACAATTTGAATTTCGTGAAGAGCTGGAACAATTGTTAACTAGTCAATTAATTGATGAAAATAAAAAAATACATCAATCTAAATCATCGAAATGTCCACCAGGATTAATTGAATCCGAAATTGATACTTATAGTCGTTTCTTATTTCCAGCATGTTTTGTATTATACAATTGTTTTTATTGGTGTTATTTTTTAATTATTGTTAATCAAATTTAATTGAAGTGTTAGGTAGATGAAGTCGTTTTAAAAAAATTGATCATTGTTCAATGTTCAATTTGTTCAATTTTTTTGCCGCCGTTTTTAAACGCACCAAATTTTTTTAAAATATAAACATGAATATATGAGTTTCATTGTAGGTTTATTGTTGACAGTATGATGATGATATATGATCAATGTGATGATGATTTATGTTTACCGCCATTTGTGACATTGAAACATTGAATTTTTGCCGCCAAAAAATGGGCATTTAAAATATTTGTTTAATGAAAATTTGTGAACACATCTTTTTGTGTAACACTTATTTAATAACAAGAAAAATTGAACACAAAAAAGAAAAAACTACTCACAGAATATAAAACAAACAAATAAAGAATTGAACAAATATTGATGCATTTAACACGCATTTATATTTCATCATATTTTCATGTTTCAAATTCACTTTCTTATCAGTGTCATTGAAAGAAAAAGTACATTTATTATTATTATTATTATTATCATTGTTATTATTATCATTATTATTACTAATTATAATTTTGTTCAGTGATTGTTATGTTTTTTCGTTGTCTCGACTGTGACAATACCCAAACGTTATTTTATTGTAATGGATTAGTTACGGTACAGTTTTGTGACTGTGGATTAAAAGTTAGAAGTATTCACACACACAGAGAGATGTACGTATATATACAGATTTGTAGATAGGTAGATAGAATTGTGGTGCGCTCTACTTATAAGTAGTATATGACGCGAGTGTCAACGTAATGTCTGGCAGCAGAAGATGGAGGAAGATCAAGAAAGGAAGAGTGGGAACACAATGGGATTTGTATGAAACCCATGAATAGTGGTGAAATGTCAGACAATGGATTGGTGATGGATTGAAGATTTGCAAATTAACCGGTTACGATATGGTTTTCCTATTTTACTGAGTAACTCTGTAATTTTCGTTAAATACAATTCGGTTGCCCTCACCTGTTTTCTACTTCACTACAGAGTGGCAAGTAGACTGATATTATAAGATTGTGTATAGATTGATGAGTTTTATTCAAATCATAGGAAACTTGGAACAACTAGACAGATATTTAGTCTTAGTATAGGAGGATTCATCAGTAGTAAGCAAGTATTGAATCGAATATATTCATTTTAGTGTCCGAATGCTTACTTATTTACCTATGCTTGTTACCCCTTGTGGAGCATAGGCCGTGAACCAACGTTCTGGTTAGCGGTTTGTTAGCGATTTAGTTTTCTACAGGATGGAGTCGCTAACCTCAAGCCTAATCATCCGCCTTTATCGGGGCTTAGGACCGACATTAGTCCCAGAGGGTCTTTAGGCGGGGTTCTCTTGATTATTACTGAACTATTGAATATGTGAAATTACTAAGTTATGTTTTTTTTGAGGGGGGAAAATTATTAATGAATTAGTGAGAGATGAATCAATCGGGAAATTGAGTAAACCACTTTTCAAAGTGAATTGTTTGCAGTTTGCAAAATCAATAACTTTCTTATCATAATATGCGTTTAAGAAATATCATTGTATGTTGCTGAGAATATTCAGAAATTCTTAGAAAATGTTTGTATTTTTACTTTATTCTAATACTGAACGTATCAAGTGCTCACTCTGTTTTCTTCCCTGGAACCGGCAGTCATCTTAGAAAGGTTTGAATTAGTGAACTTAAATTGTTAGTAACCAATTTTCAGTCAGTCAGTCAGATGTAACGTAGAACTTCGTACGTAAGTATATCAGTTCATGTTGCCATACCACATTAGCACAGAGATGTAATTGTCAATTCAAATCCAATAGTAGAAGAGGTAGTAAAAATATTAGGAGTAATCGGAGAGGTTAGGATTAGAAGATATTATTCAAGAAATATGATTCAATGAGAAAAGTTTAGAAAGTCAAAACTAGAGGTGTTGAAGAATCCAGAAGATTAGGATTTGAGAAGAACACAAAGAATAAATGCACCGGCGCCATTGCAAACGGTTTTGAGCCATGTCATTTAGGGTCTCTAACCATCGATTATTATCATCTCGTGGACCCCAACCAGGTAGTCGACAATTACCTCGACATGACTCAGTCCACTCGTCAATGACTTCATGGATTTCTGCCATGTTTTGGTTTGGCCGCCCCTAACTTTCGTCCAACTTACTCTTACACTACAAAACAAAGCTCGTCGAGGCAGTCGTTGGTTAGGCATACGCAACACATGTCCCAACCATCTCAGTTGATGAAGTTTCATTACTTCATTTATTATTTGACAAAAAATGTATTCATTTCTATCAATAAATTTACACTCTGATGAATATTATTTGAAAACTTATAATAAATTGAAGTTTGTGTGACAACAGTATGTTGAGTACACAAGAGCTTGTCTTATTAGCTAGCTATTAGACAAACTAATTAACCTTTTTCTTTCCGAGTCATTATTCAGTCAAGTTTCAGTCTTGTCAATTATTCACCTAGAATTTCGGTTGTTTTTAAAGGAGTGTGTGTGTGTGTGTATGTGTTTACATGCTTACTACATGCTTAATACATGACTAGCCTATTATTGACGGATTATAATTTTAGTTAACCAT